GTATTTATTTCATATTTATATGCATATGATAGTTTTTATACAAAATAAATACATATTTATATCTATTAAATAAAAATAAAAATATTTTTAAATGTATAAATAAGTTTTTAAATGTATAAATATGTTTCTGTTTGTATTTAATAGATATACTTATTTGTATTAAATTGTATTTAATAGATATAATTGTTTATTTTATATAGAAAAATATGGTATACATATAAATATGAAATAAATACATATTTATACTTAGTAAGCCAACACCATTTTTTTTGTTTTGGTTGATGAATCACCCAATGAATCAAAAAATGGTTTGTTTATATGTATTTTATATATATATATATATATATATATATATATATATATATATATATATATATATAGTAATATCTACTAATACATATAATTATATCTTTTATTCAATATAAACCTTATATAATTTTTTTATACAAAATACATATATATTAATACCTACTAAATGTATAAAAATACTAAATAGAAGTAAATATATTTTTAAATACTAAATACAAGTAAATATATTTTTAAATCTATAAAAATATTGTTACACATTTAAAAATGTATTAAACATATATAGTAATAATAATAATAATAATAATAATAATAATAATAATAATAATAATGAAAATAACAATCAAAGTAAAAGTAAATCCGAATATTTTTGAAAAATTAAGTGTAAATCCGAATAATTTTTAAAACTCAATGATTTTACTGGATCTAAAACACGGCCAAAAATAAAACAGATATTTTTATGAAAACATAATTTTTTTTTTTTTTTTTTTGTCATTTTCCCTAACCATTTTTAATTTATGTCCATTAAAAAATTTGGATGGGCGCCTCTCCTACCTCTTTTGATGGTTTTTGTTTCAATGCAATTAAAAGACTATTGTAGCTAGGCAACAGTTGATTATAATTCCTATTGGTGACTGATTGGTGTATGTTTTTTAAAATTTAAATACTCACATCTCAATATAACTATTTCTATTTGAAAAAGAAGAGAAGACTCATGCTCATCGATAACAAAGGCTCATAAACTGTTTCATTTTTTTTTTTTTTTTTTTTTTTTTTTGTAAAAATAGTATACTAATCTTTTGGAGTAAATATATCTTCATTTCTATCATTATATCATTTAAGTGGATATGTAAAAAATATATCTTCATTTCCATCGTTATATCATCTAAGTGGATATAAAGTATCTATGATTATTTATATAAGAACTTTATCGTGTTAATCAAATATTAATACGATTTATAATAAGAGTTATTTACAAAAATACTATATAAGATGAAGGTGTATCAATAATCAACCATATGTATATAGAAAGTATAATAAAACATGCATCAACCATGCTAAACGATATTCATGAACTCATGATAATTAGGTGGTTCCATTTACCACTTAGAATTAGGCCCGATCCAGACGGTGGGCAACCCGGGCGGTTGTCGAGGGCCTATATGTAACACCCGTGCTTCCATGTATTATGTTTATTTATGTTTTGAGAACTGTTGAGTGACTCAACGAGTTGGTGCTACAACTCGTCGAGTAGGGTTGAGATGTGCCACGTAGATTAATGATCTACTCGACGAGTCCGAAAGCCGACTCGCCGAGTAGACGTTGTGAAGAGAAACCTTAAATCCTCGGGTTTGTGGCCTATTTAAGGGCACTTATAGCCTCATTTGCGACTCATCAGTTGTTTACCTTCACTGAGAGAAAACCCTAATCGGCCATTGAGCTAAGAGAGAGTATTTGAGCTAACTTTGAGTGTTTGGTGCATTTTTTAAAAGAGAATGGAAGGATTCCAAGCCAATGGACGAGAAGGGGCTGTTAGATCCGTGATTATTTCACCTTAAAGCTTCTCGGAAAGGTATAAAGTTCTCATGTTTCTCATTTTGTTGAGTAGATCTCATGATTTTGGGCGTTTAAGGCTTTTCCCATCTAATATGAGGACTTTGAGTGTATTGAGTTCATATGGAGGTTTGGACTTCAGATTTGGACCATGTGAGGTCCCTAGAGTCCAAAAGTCCCTGCTTTATTCAGCTATAATAGGGTTCTAGAGTGAAAAACCTTTAATAGAGTATGTTTTTGGCATTTCAAGCCCTAAGTGCCATGCATGGACGTAAAGTTCGTGGCTTTACGTGATAAACGGGTCTTAAGAGTTTAGATCTTTGGGAAGGCTTTCTGCCTTGAATACGTTTGAATGAGAAAAGAGTCTTAATGGACTCGCCGAGTCGATGAGCCGACTCGACGAGTTGGTTAGGGTTTGTCCTGATGAGTTGGACCATGCGATAGTTCGGTGAGTTAGGGGTTAACTCGACGAGCTAGACCTTCATGAGACTTCCGAGGAAAACGAGTGGATTTGATGAGTCACATGGGTGCACTCGGCGAGTCGAGTCAAACATGGACTGTTGACTCGATTTTGACTTCTGTTGACTTTAGGGTTTGGTCAAATATGAGTAATAGAGACCATGAAGGGGCAAAATGGTCTTTTGTCCATTCCAAGAGTTAAAGAGAGAGAGAGAGATCAACCCTTAGTATATTTTGAGTATGAGTAGAGTAATAATTATAGATAATTATCATATGTGTTAGGTGGAGGCTAGTTCGAGATTTCCGAGTACGAGACTTTTACTTGCTAGCTTACGAGGTGACTCTTCTCACTATACATACCTAGAGTGGTAATATGAGTTGTGTGTGACCGGAAGGTCTTATGTGGTTATTTGAGTATTGTGATATCTTGCATTGTGTGATTTATGCCATGTATTGTTATGAGTTACAGAGTTAGGACCAGATGGTCCACAGAGTTAGGACTGGAGGGTCCATAAGAGTTATGGGACTAAAGGGTCCCACTGAGACACATTGACCGGAGGATCTTACAGAGTTATAGTCTCTAGTGGCTAAAGAGTTGTATGTGGTATTTTGGGGAACTCAGTAAGCTTCGTGTTTACCGTGTTTTGTGTTATGTGTTTCAGGTACTTCTCATGATCACGGGAAGGCGCCAGCTTGAGTGTACAAACATCAGAGATTGAGTTATTTGAGAGGATCCTGGAGTTTGATATATACGATTTTTGATTATGAGATTTGATGATTTGACATTGTGACATTTTGTGATTTTATTACCGTGATAAGTGTGTTTTTAAATTGGAAAAAATTGGTTTGCAAATTTACGTTGTTACACCATAATTCTAAGAGGCCCAAAATTCCTAAAATATATTGTATATATATAGAGAAAAAAAATCAGTTTATCTAAAAATGCATTGAAAAATATTTTTCTTTAAATTAATTGTTTTTTAATGTTGTGGCCATATTTGTTCTTTTCAATATTAATAGTGAATTTCATAACGGTTTGTCTATTTTCAACTTTTGAACCTATTTTTTTCGGCCTGGGCTCACTTTATCTTTGGACGGCCTTGCTTAGAACCCCGCTACACCTTCGTGAAAAGACTTTATCCATGTTTAAGTTAGTTTAAACTTTAAACTGTCTCCACCAAATACTAATTACTAAGCATGAGTGGGTGTTAATCTTTGAACATGCACAATGTTTTTTTTTCAACCATAAAGACGTAAATCCTCATTGGTACTCGTATGATTAAATGTGTCATATAGTACTAATCCATATCTATCAAACATAGATACAATCCGTCTAACCTATTTAATTATACGGGTTCACGAGTCATATTCAAGTTCAAGATTCATAAACAGGTTCACGGACCATAATCAAAATTGCAAGTCCCCTTCGTATAAAGAACATGTATACATAACATCCTATATTTATTTTTAATATATTTCATATTATTTATAACTATTTGTTTCTATTTTTTTAATCAATAAAGTTTGTAGTTATAAGAAAAGTTTTTAAAAGAAGATCTTGAATAATGAAACACAATTACTATCAAAATGGAAATAACATGTACTCTAGGTCTCACCAAAATAAATGGGACTGCACACATGTATACTAGCCCAATCATGACCTGTTTATAATACGAGTTACATGGATCAACCCAAAAATATCTCAAACCCGTTTAAGGTTAATCCAAACCTAATTATTTGTATGTCAGGTTTAAACTAGCAGCACGTTATGTTTTTTTACCCGACTTTTGCATCTCTAGTTTGCAACATATATAGGATTGTTAATATATAACAAAAATGAAGTAAATCTCAAATGCCAAAGATAATATCAATTATTCAATTGCTCGCAAGAAAAAAAAAAAAAAAAACAACTCAATTAAACTCCTATATATAACTCTTTACTTTTCACTGCAAAAGTGTAAATGAATACACTTTGTAAAATTGGGAGAAAAACATGTTAAACATGATTTCTATGTCTGTATGTTCCATGATTTTAATAATATTATCTCACATTTACTAACAGTAAAACTGTTTTTGTAATTTTTATTTCACAATATACATTTGTTTCTTCTATGATAATACAGTTTAATTCATCATCACAGATATCACCTCACAAAAGGGGTCATGTCCATACCCACTGGTATTAGGACTTCAGATAACATTATACATGAATTTTATAAAACAATTAAGATAAAGATATAAAATATAATAATTTGTTTTTCCAAAGAATGGGTGTAATAATGAATCAAATAACGAGACAAATAACTAGCAACAAGAGTTGCATGTTATGTGGCTTATATGATACCTTTCTTTCAATTCACAATTCACAAGACAAAAGAGTATGGCTTAATTAGATACTTGGGCCATATGGACCCAATGAATCCATAATCATTATTCATTTATCGATAATATTTTCATATTAGTCCATTTTAACCTTTTAATATCAAAATTGTATTAAACCATAATGCTTGAGTGATTTGGTACATGTGAAAATTGTGATGTGTAAAACTTATAACAATTTCTTTTGGAATTGAACAAATTGAACAATTTATTTTTAAAGATGTTTTATTTTTGTGGATTTTTTTATATATTTTAGTTCAAAGACAGAAAAGAAGCAACGTGCATTTCAGTGGTCAGAAGTCATGCTCCCTCAACCCTTTTCTCCATCTACTTGCGATCCACTCTCATCTCTCCACGTGTCAAATCACAATCGCCACGTAGGATTTTATTCGGTGCTCTGTTCCTCCTGGCGCAGTTTAGCAAAAACCCTGTCTTCAGTGAACTCAAAGGCCATAGAGAGACGGAAACAGCGAAAGGTTTTCAACGGACAAAACGAGGCCAACTAATACTGCATGCTCAGCCGTCGGATCTTAATCTAACGGCTGAAATATCGAGAATTCTCACCTTTATATAAACGTGGACTCCTTTGATTTCTCAACTGTCCAATTGTTCATTCTTCATATTCAAACCACACACAAACAGATCCCGGATTCCGCCGTCAAACGCCATCGTTTAGTCGTAACGATGGCGTCGGTAGCCCTCACCACCTCCGTCAACCTAGGGTTCAGGTCATTCGCCACTTCAAATCACCGCATATCATCCAAACAATCTCCTCCGTTAAATCTCAACAGATCAAACAGTCAGCACCACCTCCGGTCATCTTCTTCATACACATCAAATCTTACTCCTCGCTTGCCCCTACTCGGCCTTAAATCACCGAAGAGAAACCTGAATTTCTCCGTACAAGCATCTGCTGCTGTAGTTCCGGCTAAACAGGATCCTGCTCCGGCGCCGGTGCCATGGCAAGGAGCTGCGATGAAACCTCTGCTTGCTTCAATCGCCACCGGTGTTATCCTCTGGTTCGTTCCGGTACCTACTGGAGTTTCTAAGAATGCATGGCAATTGCTTTCGATATTTCTCGCAACTATTGTTGGGATCATCACACAGCCTCTCCCACTCGGTGCTGTAGCGTTAATGGGACTAGGTGCGTGCGTTCTCACCAAAACACTGACGTTTGCCGCTGCATTTTCGGCTTTCGGTGATCCGATCCCTTGGTTAATTGCTCTTGCCTTCTTCTTCGCCAGAGGATTTATCAAAACAGGATTAGGAAACAGAATTGCTTACCAATTTGTCTCGTTATTCGGTAGCTCATCGTTAGGGCTAGGATATAGTTTGGTTTTCAGTGAGGCTTTGTTAGCACCAGCAATTCCTTCAGTTTCCGCTAGAGCAGGAGGAATTTTCTTGCCCTTGGTTAAGTCCTTATGCGTTGCTTGTGGGAGTAATGTAGGCGATGGAACCGAGCATAAGCTTGGTTCATGGTTGATGTTGACTTGTTTCCAGACGTCGGTTATTAGCTCCTCTATGTTCTTGACTGCGATGGCTGCGAATCCACTGAGTGCTAATTTGACTTTTAACACCATAAAGCAGACAATCGGGTGGACCGATTGGGCAACAGCTGCGATCGTTCCTGGAATGGTATCATTGATTGTAGTCCCACTAATTCTCTACTTAATCTATCCACCATCTGTGAAGAGTAGCCCTGATGCACCCAAGCTTGCAAAAGAGAGATTGGAGAAAATGGGGCCAATGACAAAGAACGAAATCATCATGGCAGGCACTTTGCTTCTTACGGTATGGCAAAACTGATTACTCATTAGTCACTACAACTACGTTGATTTATTCATTCATACTGTAGTTAGTACTAACTGAACAATTCTGGAGTTAGGTTGGGCTATGGATATTTGGAGGAATGCTGAATGTTGATGCTGTTACAGCTGCAATTCTTGGACTATCTGTTCTTCTTATAACAGGAGTCGTGACATGGAAAGAATGCTTAGGTGAATCGGTTGCTTGGGACACTCTTACATGGTTTGCTGCACTCATTGCAATGGCAGGGTACCTCAACAAATATGGTCTCATCTCCTGGTTCAGTCAAACCGTGGTCAAGGTATGTTTTCAATTTCATAATACATTCATCCTCCAAACATAACAAAATCTGAAAATCTTTTGAATTCAGTTTGTAGGTGGACTAGGTCTTCAATGGCAAGCATCTTTTGGGATTTTAGTTCTTCTATACTTCTACTCCCATTACTTTTTCGCTAGTGGAGCTGCTCACATTGGTGCCATGTTCACCGCCTTCTTGTCAGTTGCCACTGCCCTTGGGACACCACCTCTGTTTGCAGCAATGGTGTTAGCATTTCTTTCCAACCTCATGGGCGGGTTGACCCATTATGGAATCGGATCAGCTCCAGTTTTCTATGGAGCAAACTATGTCCCTCTTGCAAAATGGTGGGGCTATGGGTTCCTTATCTCTGTGGTCAACATCATCATCTGGCTTGGTGTTGGAGGTGTCTGGTGGAAGTTCATCGGCTTATGGTAGTTAAAAAAAAGGTACCAGTTTGATCACAAAACTCACAACTTTCTGACTTCTCCTGTGCGTTTTTCTTTTGCTACTAGGATTTTAACCAAATCCAAATCTAGTTTTCAAGATTTTTGCTCAGGATTCTTTAGCCTTGCAAATAATTTTTGTGTTTGTTGGAGGGTTGTGTAGGTTAAGATGTTATACATCATACATGGCATGAGGCCGAATTATATTTCAAGTTTGAATTTGTACTTTTAAAATTTTGATATGTCACATTATGTAACTTGGAGAATTCTAGCATGTTTTTGCTATGGTTTTGCATTTCATATACTTGGATAAATTTCACATATCATCTTTATGAAGTGCTTAATAAACAAAGACATGTTTCTTTTCTTTTTTTTGACTGAATGAACTAAATCTAGGTAATTCCCTTTAGAAAGCACCAGGGCCCGGTTCCTGTCCCTATCCTGCAAAAACACATGACGAAAGTACTTGAGGATGTTTACGGTATAGAGATAGATACAAAAATAGACAGGACACAAAAGGGCAAATTACAGAATGCCCTTTTGTGTCTTGTCTTACCAAAGACAAAACATCGTGTTTTGGCTCAGAGTATTTGTGATATGAAAAAGTACCTCCAAAAACCAGCGAATGCTCTCATACTCATATATAAAGTCAGAGCAACCCATAGACCGATGAACCCGTGGCTTGAGGCGACAAATAATGATATAATGCTAATTATAGCAACCAGAACCTAAGATCCAAAAAATTTAAAATAGTCTCAATTGAAGAAATATCCATTTGTTCGATTTTATTTATTTCATTTGATATAAAAAAGTAGAAAAAAAAAAAAAAAAGAATGGTGAAAAGAAGTGAACCATAGAATATGCTGCATATGCAAAATCAGATGCTCCAAAGTTGACACCATCGAAAACAAAGGCCAATGCGTTGATTGGTTGAGTTCCCGCAACAAACTAATACACGAAAAGAAGATCATCACATTGTTAGAGTTAGTTTTAAAGATTAAGCCAAAAAAAAGAGTTTTTAGTTTTCTTTGAGTAAATAATACCGGGATTCCGATGCTAATGAGATGTAGGACACCAGATTCTTTTGTAAACAATCTTGCTCCAAAGTGTAATCCGAACCCTAAAAGAATAGACAAAGCAACCCCAAGAACTACACCTAACTGCATTGCTAAGCCATAACATCAATAACAATATCCACAATAATTTTATGCAAATAAGATTTTCATAATTATATTTTATTCTTTTATCTTATTAATTTGATAGTTGTTGATTGAATAAAATTTACATATGGATCTACGAATAAGAGACATTTCAAGGAAGTCAAGACAAAGTCAAAGGCTTTGAAGTGTGGTATTAAAAAGTATGACTCAATCTCTTACTAAACCCGATAACAGACATATCAAACAACCCTGCTCCTACATAACATATCTTAACCATTTTGTTGACTTGATATTAATATAACATTAAGAGCTTGCGTATTGTGTATACCTGCAATACTCTTGAAGCAATTGCAGTAACCTTTTCGTAGTCCATTTTTGCAAATGCGCTTGCAATTATAGCCTTAAAGGAAAAGAGTTAAGCCAGATAAAACATTTTATATGTGAGCCAAAAAGAATAAGAATATATAGTGAGTGAGTTATAATGTTATATAGAAACAGAAACCTGTCCTGCAACAGCCAAACCATCGGCTAGAAGTGAAGTTGCAAGCCAAACTTGCAAGCAAACTTGAAACGCAGCCATTGTTGTTGACCCTTGTCTTGCAGCCATTGATGCAGCTAATGTTACACAGAATGTTACAGCCGTCACTCTCATTAACAGCAAAAAACCTGTGTTTTTTAGAAACATAAACCAAAGCAAAATCTGAGAAACATTTGATCCAATTTATATTGTTTAAATAAGACATGAAATTGATATAATCACCGTTTTTGAGAAATCGGCCAAACTGGAGATGCTTAGAATTAGGTGGTACGATATCAATCTTTTCTATTAATCGCCAAAAGAGAATTATTGAAATTAGATACCTACACACAAGTGTCGAAAGATCAATGAGTTTTTAAAGGAAAAAGGAGATACATTTTGACTTTCGATGCTAAAATAAGTGTCTTTAATTTGATTTTTTATAATGCGGGATATAAATGATCATATGATGTAATGAAACGATTTAGAAATTCTTAAAACCTTGTAAAAGTCTCTAATGAAAAGTTGTTTAGAAGGGTATAGAATTTAGTAGGACATGGAACAATGTATCAAATGCTTAAGGAATAGCCTAAAATTATGCCTTATAAAGAAGTCATTAAAAAATATCTATAACTTTGTAAATAGGTCAAACATTTGCATTTGTAAAACATTCATTTATTCGTTTATGAAAATATAGGTCCATGTAGATAGATGTCAAGACACCATGTAAATAGGTCAAACATTTGCATTTGTAAAACATTCATTTATTCATTTATGAAAATATAGGTCCATGTAGATAGATATATGATGGATATAATTTAATGTACAATCTTAGGGAACCAAACTTGTGTTGTCTTTTATTCTTTAATGATCTTCAATATATACAATAAGACTACAAGGAGTGGGTTTGACAAATGATCTTCAATATATACAATAAAACTACAGGGAGTGGGTGTGCCAAACCCACTCGCCTTGCATTTAGGCATGCACCAACAACACCTTCTAGCACATGCTAAGGGGAAATGCCAATCTTCGCTCACCGAGTCTGCAGCATAAGGAGAGAGAGAGAGAGAGAGAGAGAGAGAGAGAGAGAGAGAGAGAGAGGGGGGAGAAGGTGGAGAGAGAATGTATAGTGAGTTGTGATTGGTTGATTTTATTTTAGTTTTTTTTTTTTCAAAACTAATACCAAGCACATCACTACTCCCTATCACCATGTTATGCTTATGTGGCATGCCAAAAAAAAATAATGTGTCAACGCATAACACATGCTACCACTCCCTTAACCTAAGTGTTTCATTTTGATAAGATATGGCATCTCATTCTTATCATCTTTTTCCTATCAATTTCTCTTTAAATATTAACACCAATTAAGTGTATAATCTATCCATCCATTGCTTCATCGCAACTCTATAAAAACAAATTATAAAACCCACAAGAGGAACCCAACCTATGCTACTAGAAAGTGTGTCTATATATATATATATATATATATATATATATATATATATATATATATATATATATATATATATATATATATATATATATATATATATATATATATATCGAGTTACAAGTGGTAGGCGTGTTGTAAAACTTGACCTACTAGGTTGAGTACTCGATATTGGGTATATTTCGAGGTGATAATGTCGGTCAAAAAACCAGATTCGGTCAAACTCGGGTCCAACTCAGCATGTTCGGTCAACCTGGCCAACTCGGTGGAATTTTCACTTTTTTAATAAAAAAAAAACAATAATTAGTATTGATATTAATCTATCGTTATTAATTTAATGAACTTATGATATTTGTTATATATAAATTTTCAAAATTAATTTTATTTATAATTTACTCAATTCAAGTACTCCCGTGTCTTGGTGGAGTACTCCTTACTCACGAGTTGATCATCATTGAAACCTTAGCAACTTTGCACCACTGAGTGGTGGTAACAATGTTTTTATTAGGGCTTGTTAATCATTAATTGTTAGTGGTAGAATCAATGTTTTAAATAATGTTATGCATGACTTGACGGCAACATCGAACCTCAAACTTTTTCAAATTACGGTGAGTCACGTTGTTTCTAAGACATGACTTAAGACGGTAACTTTGTGTATAATTAATAATTTTATATATTTTTTCTATTATTATATATATATATATATATATATATATATATATATATATATATATATATATGACTTAAGGCTGCATTTTATTAAATTTTGGCGGTAAGTACATGCTTTGGAGTCTTGAATACTCCTTTGAGTTTCTTGATTATTCATCGGTAGGGTCTACTAGGGTTTGTTTATTGTTATTAGTAGTAAATATTTTGTTAAGATTTGTAATTTTGTTTCTTTAGTACTTAGAACGCCATAAGTTTTTTCAAAACTTTTTCAATAAAAATCTTCCGACATTTTAACAAGCTATAGGTGAACTTTGTTAATTAACAAGATTTATGGTAGAGCTTTTTTACAAAATAATACAATAATATTTATATATCTATATTAAATATATATTTTTCTTTTTTGTCAAAAGTGATTGATATTTTAGGACCATAAAAAAAAACATATGAAAAAGCTCATGAATGTTTATAAAGTTTTTGGGTTAATGATTTTACAATAACTTGGCACTAAAAATACCAAAAAGTTATATGAATTATTATTATTATTATTATGATGAATGCTTTTAATTGGTATATTTTGTTAGTTACTAAATATTAAAATTTTATTATGTTAACATCCCAGTGAATAATCCTACGCCAATAGCCAGGTCAATACTAAACCAACAATTCTGTCTCATATCAATTGGCAACATCTTTCTTGAATTAGTCCAACTAAGATATTTTCAAGTTCATATATGTAAATTGAATAATTCATTTATAAAAGTAAATAGTTCAAATGTATCCATTCCTTGAAAAAGAAAAACACAATATCAAGATAACTTACTGAGATATAACATGAGCAATGGCCGCACCGCTAACGCCAAGACCAAAAACAAAAATAAATATTGGGTCTAGAATAATATTTGTCACATCTCCTGCCACTTAAACTCATTTAAAATTAAATTGAAGTTAGAAAATACATAAATGATATATTATAGACAATATATCATTATTTCATTTTCCACTTACCGGTTGCATACAAAGGAGTTTTTGTGTCTTTGAATCCACGAAAGACTCCTTGCATCGCTAACGAAAGTAGAACCGCAGGAGCACCAAGCGACCTTAACTTTAAGTATTGTTGTGCGGGATACAACATAGGAGAGTCCTGTGTATTCAAAAGAATCAATGTCTAGGTTTTAACAGTTTTATTCAAAACCTTGAACTGTTCAAAACCTTGACATCTTCCAGGGTACACATAGACCCTAAAGTACTTTTTTTACCATAAAAAGAAAGCTACTTTATAATAAGTAGTGAAAGCTTAGCCATTTTTACATACCGATTTGATCCCCATTATGCCCAAAATGGGTTTCGATGCGGTTATTAGAAACACAGCTTGCAAAAACCCTAAAACGACCCCGATGATTATAGCAGATGAAGCTGACGGGATCCGTTTTTTCTCGTAGCTTGTAACTATCGACTCCTCATCTAGTGACTCAGACTCTACATTAGCCAAGTTGATATTTTGATAAATAACAAATTAGTTGGATGTCATAAATCATAATAAAATGAAATTTGGTAACAATATTATACTTATGTTTTGTAGTTCGAGCAACTTTTTGTTTTCACTATTTGTAGTGGGCCCTTGCATTTGATGACTTGAGTTCATGATTGTGTCTTCCTCAGCCACAAAAGATGTCGTAATGCTTACTAGAGGAAAAATTGCGATTCTTGACACTTGGTTGAAAACAGCTATCGAAACTCCCACCGCAGCTAGTTCAGTTGCACCTACATGTATACATGAAATTTGTATGTATAATTTTGTCGTAATCATAGATTCATTGTTAACATATAAATAGAAACACATTAGAATATGTGAAATTACCAATTTGACCAATGAAGGCTGTGTCCACAAGAGAGGCAATAGGATCGGCTGTCAAAGCAAGTGCTGCTGGTAAGGCGATTTTAGCTATTTCTACGCCAAGTTCATCCATTTTTAATGCTGACCTGAAAAATACACGTATTACCATTTTAGCACAAAAAGTATAGAACAAGTTTTTAAATTATGTTACAACATTTATAAACAGTTTTAATCAGAATTCAGATGATCGAGTGCACAATAGCTTCTTCAATTTAGAAAATATTATTAAGGATATCTAATTAAAATATATGAAGATAATAAAAAATAAGTATTTATTTGTTGTATCAAAAATATAGTGGTTAGTTTAATATTTGAAAACAGGTAAATGGAAAGGTAATGTACCTCGCATCTTTAAAGAAAATGGAAATGGGAAATCTTGTTGGATTTCCACATGGACATCCATCGTTTTTCTCAGCCATAATATTTAACTAGTTGATAATTGGAGGCTAAAATCGTCAATTCACACTCAAACAAAAGCTTTCTCCATCGATGGTTTTCCTGCAACAAACGCGATAGATCAAACATGAAACATGAAAACACCTAAGACCCATAATTATTAGATTAAAAAACTCGAAGAAAGACCAATTAATCCAAAACATGAAAATACACATCCCAAGAGTGAAACACTATGAACACCAATATAAATGGAATCATATTTTACTTTTCTTTTAAAACAAAAAAAAAAAACAGTACATGTAATCAAGTAAAACATGAATCGCTAGCTTAAGAGATACAGATCACTCTATGTCGTTTGCAATTATAAGGAAGTCGATAACAGAAGGGAAAGAGGATTACTTTGAAGAAGAAAAAAAAAAGGATATATGATAATTGAAGTGAAAGTGTGAAGTTAAAAAGACAGAGACTTATGACAGTTTTGAAGAAAGAATTCCTGGTTGAAACTTTCTCTTTTCACCATCAACTTTCTCAACCATGTATATGAGAGAGAGAGAGAGAGAGAGAGAGAGAGAGAGAGAGAGAGAGAGAGGTGGGTCTTGCTTGTAGAGTTGTAGACTTTAATATTCTTCTAAGTTGTGTCGATTGGTGTAATGGTTTGGAAAAAGGTTGAGATGACAATCCATACATATGACTAGCCCAAAACGTTTGCTTGGTGTATGTACCCTAGCATATTTGGCTATTTGCATTGTTTTTTTTTTTTTTTAAATAAAAAATTAATATGGACAATGTATCCAATAATAGTGTTCTTATGCTTTGAAATGAGATGGTAAATCGTATTATCTAAGAGGCGGATGTCGGACACATCCAAATGTCAATCACATGTGGGTAAATCGTGGCACTCGTATTAATTTGAACCATAGTCCATAGATATCCTTTGTGGAATTTGTCACCTCTATCCCTACCATTAGGTTCTTAGAGGGAAGAAAATATTCTTATATATTTTATAACTTTTATAACAACAAACTTAACTAATTATACAATTTATAACAATTTATGAAATGATACAAGTTTATAACATAGGGCATATATATATATATATATATATATATATATATATATATATATATATTAGTTTATAGCACGTGGAAATTATGATTACAAAATTGATTAAACTTTCATAGTAAAAAACTCAAAGTTATAATTTAAATGTTTTAAATAAATTATTTTAAGTACATTATTAATTAAGAAATATTTTTTTAATTATATAAAATTATAATTGTTGGTTCAAATAAATATGTGAAATTATATCATATTATAATTTTTATTAATTTTATTTTCTTTATATTCTAATTTTATTAATTTAATGTAATTAAAGTGGAAATTTTAAATTTTGAAATTTAGAATGAAGAATTAATAGTTTGACAAGTAATACGATATTAATTAAAAAGCTATTACGGTGACACATGGCAAAAAAATATTTTTTTATTAATAGGTTGACAAATGATAAATACATTTTCATTCAATTTCCTCCTAAAAAAAACATGATCTAACTCCTTGTAATAAGTGACACATTATTTCCAACATTTTAAAAAATAGATGTAAAAAATGCCTAAACCACCCAACATAGATTTCACATCTTAACTTTAAGGTTATAAAGTTTTTTCTTAAATCTATCAATTATGACATATCAATCGTCACATATTATCCCCTACCAGTAATTCAAAATGTTTTAAAGGAACTATAGTTGTTTCACATCCTATAATAACTACCATTTGATTTAGTCTAGTCGAATCTTTCTCTACTATGTGTCTATTGACGTGATGAGATTCATTTCTAACCCTGAAGCTAAATTAAAAATCCCAACAATCAAACTAAATTTTGGACTTTTTCTTGCATCCTATTTACCTAAGAACAAAGCATCATCGATGTAGAATAAATAAGAGATCGGAGAAACCTTCATTTCCAACGAGTGCACCACTGAAACATACCATGAATTATAACATCATTCATAGTTACAGGAAGATCATCTATTGTTATAATGAAGATAAATTGGGACAATGAATCTCAACCCCTTATACTAGTGGAACTTAAAAAAGGCAAAGGTGACAAAACAACAATCTTATCAAAACAACAATCTTATCAAACATTAATACGATTCGATTTGGGTGACATCTTCATAAATCTGATTGGACCCGAATATGATTTGGTTTGGGATGGTTTATGCGGATTTTTGTCCACAGGATTCCAAACAGTTATATCTAATCCGCATGTTTAATTATTTATTAACTTATAAACTAATAAACTACACCATAAAATGTAATATCATCCAAATATAGCTTCATTAAAATATATTTTAAAAGCAAGAAAGTCAAAACATACATTTATTAAAAAAAATAGACTATTAATATTAGGGTGCCGCTAAAGCTGAACAGTACTAGTGAGGGAAAAAGTGAAGGAAGTTTTTTCTCTCAACTGGACATCATCCCTTGACTGAGGGAAAGGTGGTGAGGGAAAGAGGTGAGGGAGCTAATTCTCTCACTCTCTCTTCTATTTCTATTGGCCAACTTTTTTTTATCTTTTTTAATAATTATTAAATTATATACCTATTAAAAATTATTTAAAAATATATCAAAACTTATGGTTTTTAATTCCCTACAAAATGAGTATATAATATTTATAGGAAATATATATATATATATTTTTTTAAAATAAAAAAAAATAGTAAGGAAAATTTCCAACTCATTCATTAGGTTTAGGTGAAGGAAAGGAAAGTGAAAGGAATGATCTTATGGCTCACAAAAAGGGAAGAGAGTTTCCCACCCACACTTTCCGTCTAATAGATTTTTTGAAGTAATCTTCAATTTTTTGGCCTTCTAATTAGGATTCGACTTTTTTTTTTTTTTGCTCTTCAATCATTCTGGTTGTATTGGGTATTTTCGGTAGCATTTTTTGTCATTTTCTTGAAGCCTTGTCCAATTATTGTTCTATTATTTGCATTTGATGATGACCGTTTTCGTTATTGGTCCATATATTGTTCAAAATGTAATGAAACGCTAGATAATGAGTACATGAATTCCATATAGTTTAAATTAAATAGATGTGATGGTACACCATAATTATAAATTGAAACATTGTATAATTCATATGTTTTTATGCATAAAAGATAATGAGTATAATAAATGTCATAAATTTGTTGGAGAATCTAATACCATTAAAAAAAATGATACGATAAGCATATGCCATTTTATATATGCTCTCCGAATTGCTTTTTGATGGATTCTTTACAGGTAGGGCCTTAGGGGACGATATTATAATAACAGTTGCTAACTATATTACCATTTTCCTGTTACTCAAGTAATCAAATATTACATTAACACTAAACCGCGTATAATTCGTTTGCACAATTGTGTACAATGACTTTACTTCAAAAGGAAAATAAACATAGTGATATGTCACGATCACATTTTAAACAATGTAATAACATTAGCACCTTTTTGAGACATTTGGCCTATTAATGTGATCATGGAGGTTGGTATAACTTATAAGATGTCTCTACAAAGTAAGGAAAGAGACAAACTAAAATTGGTAATAAACAAACTAAATTGCTAAAAACTCGCCATAGTAAGAAATGTTTGTTAGAATAAGTTTACTTAGATGATATGATGAAGTAAATAGATATAAAGATAACTTTCTCACATATATTCCTTATATTCCTTGTTGATATGACAAGGAACATGATATATAAACAATTGTATTATTGGGCAAAGTACATCCAACATGTTCCAAAACATATAAATTCACATCCAAGTTAGCAAATATTGTACCCCCATTCATGATTTTAAGTAATTATACATAGCGGTGAGCAAATGGGCCGCAAGAACTACTAAATCGATATCGGTACCAAATTGAAATGTATGTTCTTTATCAGGTTTGTGTTAGGACCGTTACAAACATATTTTGATGGCTAAAGTTATTTGGGTCATAAGCAAAAATAGCAAAAACTAAAATAAAAGTATATGCAAATGAAAAAAATATACTCAATTTATCAGTTAGTTGTAGTGTCCAACGAACAAAATGAAAATTGCAAACAAATGACATATGACATATCAATTTATCATTTAATAATAAACTATGAAATAATAGAAAATAAATAAATAAATAACAGACTTTGTTGTGTTAGATAGTTATGTTGGATTGTTGATATATTTGTCTAAGTTGGTCATTAAAAAGCTATTTAACAATTCACAACGGTATATTTTCACTTGTGTGGTGAGTCATCATAATATGGTGAGACAATTTAGTGATAGAAAAAACAATTCATAACACAAATAAAGGCAAATTACAATATCAAAACAATAAAATTTCAATACCCAAATTGAGTTAAAATACAAAATTTCAATATCTAAATCACAGATATGTAATATATTTATGATCTAAGACACTTAGACAAGCTAGGTGACCAAAATGAAAAACAGAATGTTGATGTAAAACAAAATCACGCATTCAAATTAATCTAGAAACTATTATAAACTCCGGATAACCTAATAACAACCGAGATTTAAAACAAACAAAGATATTTATGTAATACAAAATCAATCATTCCTTATTTAATCCTTGAAATTCGTGTTAACGATCAAATTCTTCAAAGATACAAAATTCATGTCGTATAACAGAATATATTATATTTGGGGCCCATAAAACTATTTTCTTAAATGAATAACATTAACTAAATAGACAGATGCTACCAACATGAAACATAGACTAATTTTATTGGGCTCTTGTGAGGGATGGGCCATGGATTGTTATCCATCTGAGACAGGCCCGGACGGTATTCGATTCCTCAAATATCTAATTTTTTGCTCTCCGTACCGTCGGGTTTAGGTGAAAATCAATATAGAACTGAAATTTAAAGGGGAAAACTCTTAAAACCCAAGAAATCAATTCCCTTAGTTACATTCAAATCAGAAAATCGTTAACCACCACCCCCCCCCCCCAAAAAAAAAAAAAAAAAAAAAAAAATCTACTATCGATGGCTCTTCTACCCTACCAAACCGAAAAATTCTGATCAGCCCTCTAAATCAACAACATTATACGAAAGATCAAGTTTCTTCACTTCATTCTTGAGTATTAACGGAAAATCAGGTTCCACCATAGAAGATGTATTTCAGACAAGATAATAAACAATTTCACAATCAGTACTAAGAAGTAATATTGAATTGTTATAATCTCTAATGCAAATAAACCAACAAATAATATTGAGAGTTTCGTCGCATATAATAAATAATAAAACCTAATTATTATTATTAGGTTACCAAATTTCCTCCAGAAATCAATTTGATCATCCGCGGTCATATGTGATTATAATAAATGTAGAAGGAAGACTATTTTGTTGTAGAACGAATTAAAAGATGAGACATAATTTAATATCAACTTGATGTTCTCTGATATTTGGATACTAAAAACTACACAGAATAACTCGTGTCCTTAAAGGTTTTTAGTCGCTCTAGGGCTTTAAGATTCAAAGTAAAACCTCGTAATTGAATGAAGATTATTGTTCTTTCCAACAATTATGGAAGAACCGATAAACACACAACAAAAAACTCCTAAAGGAAAAAGAAAGTTGCATTGAAGAGAGAGTGTGCAAAGAAGACTCTATTTTTTAGGTGTGAAATAAACGGAACATGTGAGATCTTATTTATCCTATTTATTTATACTCACTTGGAAAAACTTAGACCCCCCAAAAAAAGGACTTGATGATGATGTATGGCTTCTCACTGGCTGTCTCATGGCAACATAAATTTGAATTCGAACATTGGATAAATCCAACGAGTTAGCGATGCTAATAGCTATCTCATTCAATTCAACCTTGGAGTTTATCGGGTTTTCAGAGGCCTCTAGAAGATTATGACTGCTTATCCACAAAGTCAGTGTTGGTTAACATGCTTACCGACTCCAACTAGATCCGACCTGATCATTGCCAAAATAAAAGCTCCCAGCAACCGACATCATGTGCGCCTACATCATGTCATTTTCCGAACCTTTTAATTTGTTTAAATACCCAAACTACCCTCAAAACATACCCCTAGTACACATATAGAAGAAAATTGACCTATTTAAAATTTTAACCAAAACCAATTTTGCATTTAAAGGCTTGTCCTAAAAAAGGCTAGTGGTCGGATTGTAACACTTCTTGATATTTATTCACTAAAAAATAAAATGTCATACTTAGTCATGGATGGTGTGAAACAAAAGCTTTACTAAAACATGCACAATACTTGCCAACAATAAAGTTCTAAAAGTGTGAAATATTGTGTTTTATAAAAAGAATAAAGGAAATATGACAAATGCATACCATGAAGCGGTTTCTCTATAAAAATCCTCTTCCCTATGCCTACTGATGCAAAAGACTATTTTGATATCAATAGCAAGCTTTGAGCTTTTCCACTTGAGACCTCTGCAAAATCACACACCTGCTCAAACAAGAATCGCAAAATATATGACACTAATAGAGACAATGTTAAAATTTGAGTAATCAAAATAGGGCTTTTGATAAGAGGTGTTCCATATAGGTTGGTGTGAATCTTTCTAAACAGAAATACCCTTCTCTAAGACTGATACTCTTGTCCCATCTTCACTTTAAACTCTACTACACAACTAAATCCATCAATACATCATCATCGATTCTATGAAAACAATCAAAGCCAAGAAAAATAATATCTAGTAAGCTGTAACAAAAGGATTCAGTCTCTAAACCCTAAATCATGAATTCATCGACACAAAACAAAAATCTATCAAATTGGCAAAAGAGGGGATTTTACTATTTTAGGAAGTTTCAGAGTCTTTCCAAACAATGAGGGAATAAGAGGCTCACTTAACGATTCAGAAGTGATTTTTCTTTGCCAAACGCTCTTAATGCTTAACTATTCATAAACCACATCTTAAATGGACCATTAACATGCTTACCAAACAACCCCTTTAACGATTAGGGCTTTTGGTTAAAGTGATGAGTAATGAGCCATTTATGTTGGAACAAGAGCAATAACAAAAATAAGGATGAGAAAACAAGAGTTTATGTATGCAACAATTCAATGATACGATATTAGATTATGTACGAGATTTGTAATATGTTATTTGCTTTCAAACTGATTCTCTTAGGTCAGAAAAGCACCCGCACATAAAGAGTGTTTGTGTGTTACTATATATAATAGTTGAAGGTTGGAGTAAATATTTAATTGGGTGATTAATCACCAATCACTTTTTTTTCTCGTATATAATCACCGATTCTTAACAAATAGTTTTATCATATGTGGTACTTTTAGTGGCCAAGTCTCAACCCGTCTATCATTTTTTGTGCTAAGGTAAGTTGATAAATGACAAATCTTTCATCCGTCTATTTTACGATAGTTTTATAAGCGTTGAGACGAGAGTTTTGAAACATAATTTTTAATGTTAAAATATTTTACGTACAATTCTACTTAAAATGTTTTCAATTCATTCTTGGTGCATGGTATTTATCCTGCCGCTCTCGTGTCCTATCCTTCCCGACTTCGGTACTGAACATGCGATGCATGGATGTTCCCCTTTCTTCCACCTTTCTCCTTCCCGGTCTTACCTAGTTTCTCCCTTTTTTTTTCTTTGTGTCATTCCTTTTTCAACACATCCTTCCTGAAATTTTTTCTACTTCTAGGAATACATCCCGATCCTCTTTGGCCAATTATGTAACACTCCTCGTACGGGCTAGTAGAAATGTGACAATCTTTTGAAATCATTTAATTTTTTTAGAAAACGTTACTGTAGAATTTGATCCTAAAACATAAAACATCTGTTTTCTTAAAAGTGTTGAGTACGAAAGTGTTCAAGTATTGACGTACATATCATTTACAAAGGTAAAAGGTGAATCATGGGCCTTCTAGAATATCCAAGCATGATCCTAGTTGAAACCCTCATCTACGAGTACATGTCAAAATAGTAACTTTATGCTTGTGAGGCTAATGAATAATACCAAAACCAAGGCCTGGAATGGAATTGAGAATGACAATTCTCTATTACTAAGCCATGATTTCCTACGAATGTTTGTAATAAATAAATAAAACTTTTAAAAACATATTTGAAGTGTAAAAATGGAAAACATACAAATTTATTAGTTTCGAACCATGCATATTCAAATGCAACCATCCCAACCCATTTACTACACTAAAAGGAGAAAGAGCTATGGTGAGGATCGAGAAAGGAGAAAGAGCAATTATAGCATGCAGTGTTGGGTTCATGACATTGTCAAAACAATACACGCACGCATACACACACACAGAGAACAAACAATCAGTCGTAAGTAATGATGTTTGAAGACAATTACACATTATTAGTTGTAATCATTGAGTTTTATCGTTTGTAATAATAAAAAGTCTTTATGTAACAAGTATGTGTAATTATTATGTAAACTAGCAACAATGTCTAGTGATATCATGTGTCATATAGCTATAATTATCATGTTGTAATACTCTCAAAGAATATTCTCTTTGTATAAATAAGGGTGTTGCCCATTGTGAATAAATCCGAGTTATTTTGTGTAAGATTTGTGTGTGTGTGTGTGTGTATATATATATATATATAGAGAGAGAGAGAGAGTGTGTGTGTGTATGTGTGTGAGAGTGAGAGTTTGACCCTAATTCAACTCATTTAATTAACATGTTATGTAGTGTCAACCCATTTATTTCAGGTTAGAAGTACACCTTAAAATATGTTGTTGCATATAAGGTTGAAACACTAAACATGTTGATAGAAGTTTTGTATCACAAATACTATATCGCATCACATATAAGGAAAATTCACTCCAACATATGAACCAATAGATACTTCTTCAAACTATTCTAAAAGGGCATTATATAAAGAATATATATAGTATATACATATACATATCGTAAATAAAAGGTGTTTTGACCAAAATCTAGCTAAACTTCTTGAACCATGAATCTACCTATTAAACAACAATCAATAAAGAAAAAACGCATGCATGCATGCATGCATGCATGCATACATACATATACACATACACATACCAAAGAACTCTTTCATCCAATCTTTTCTGTATTCGTATCATCAGAAGGCCATATCACAGTCTCCATGAGCCTTTCACGCATCAACTCCAAGTTCATATCCGAAAAATCTTTATACATTTCAGCATGATCCAATTTCTACCACAAAATCCAAATCCCATAAATTTCCCATTTTGTGACCCGAAATTACAAAATCAAATTACATACCTTGACCCATTTACCATAAAGGTGAAGGCGTGTCACCATTACTCTTTCTGCAAGTTCATGTTTCTCCTAAAAAAGCAAAATCGAGATTATAAACACAGTTAAAGACCCATGAATGTTGTTCAATTTGTGAGATTTTTATGTACCTTTTGGAGGACTCGAATGAAACGTTTTCCATCAATGGGCTGATTTGATGCCACAAAACTGTTGAAAAAAAAAAGTCAAAATTACAGTATCAAAATTAGAAATAGAGTAACCTAATAGTGTTAAGTAATAATACCCAAAAGCTCAATAACCTTTATATCATTAGACGTTATTGATAGTATACATTATAAAACTTATAATACACAAAAATGGTGTTTTGTGTTGAAATGCTTTAAAACGAGTTCAATATTTAGTATAACATAGTAATAAAAAATAAGTCGCTTAATTATAAAATAAAAATTTGGTACTAAAAATCATGAATTTGGTAGACTTACTCATAAAACCATCGATATTGAGTTGGATTCATCTCATAAAGTTGGTTCATAACAGTCCTCACTGCTTTGTAGGTGAAAAGATTGAAGATTTGCTACAAGAAACATAACATTTGGTAATTAGATTCATGCCAAAAGGGTAAATAAGTCATATCCTTGAAACAATTTCAAGTATTTATAGACTCCCAATAGAATGTTATTTCTTGCTCTCCAATCAATTATACTAATATCCTTTTTTTTCTAACTTTTTAGTTTTATAAAACAACCGTTCTTATGTTTATTAGATTTTTACAAATTTTGATCCATGTTTTTCTAATTACAATAACTTTACAAAGTATATTACCAGACAATCAAGAATAAAGAAATAAAATCATTCGTGTATAATTATGTCATCGTGTTATCAAAACAATCATATTATTAAATGAAAAAAGTTACATTCAACGCACATTTAAATAAATCTTACTCATGCATTTTGAAAAAGATTACATCTACATTTTATCTAACAAATGGTGTTGGGTTGAAGAAACCTTACACTAAAATTGGTGAAAAAATGGGATTTGGTTTTGGGTTTTCTAAATCAAAGTTAAGTATTTATAGATACCCAAAGAATCCTAATTCATTTGTAAGATCTGCAAATATAATTAAATAACCATTGACAATTCGACATAAAAGATTAAAAAGAAGTAGATTTACAAGTTCTTACAGATTTAACATCATGAAAACTTTCTTCATATTGTCCACCAAGATCATTGACAATCACAAAACTTTTAACCCTCTTCTGCTTCTTGGAAGCAATTGCCTTTGATGGAAGCCTGGAATCCGTGAAAGAAGATCTCAGCTTTTTACTGATCGATTTCCTTTGCAAATTCAAATCCCCATTACTTGTGTGATTCATATGCGTTGATATGAGTGTATCGATACACAAACATGGGGAAGTATGTGAATCCACAATGGGCGAACCAACAACGCATATGCCCCCTACCATGGTTCAGAACTCACAGAGACGAACTAAAACCCTAAAAACTGGGTTCTTTATGGGTAAAGATTGAAACTTTTTAGCCAAATCAGAATCGAACAACGAAACAAGAGAACACCCAGATGAGAACTTTGGTGGGTGTGAAAGAGAAGTAGAAATTGATGATTGAAGTCAAAGATTCATGCGTGATTAGCTCTTGAGGAAGAAGTGAAGAAGGTGATTGTGTTTTGGTGGGCAAGAGAAGTCGTGTGGGGAAAACAAGGAATTTGTGGGAAGAATGGCCAGAAATATATTTGAGGTCCAAAATGGTCCAACCATGAAGAGTTTTCATGCCGACTCGAAGTTGGGTTTCTCTTGTGTTTGAAGACTGGACCGGGTCTATATGAATCAATTGCAACTTGCAAGAACATCAATGAGAACTAGATATCCACAAAAACGGCCCTCGGCGGGGTTGTAATTATATGTTTTTACTTTTTAGACCGTTTTCGGAATAGTTAACATCAATGGGAATTAGATATCCACATAAACGGTTCGGGTCGGGTTGTAATCAGCTGTTTTTAGACCGTTTTTGGAATCGTAGCATCTCGTTTTTGTAAATTCGGTTGAATGGGTGTAGTTGTCTTTTTTAGAAGAGTTAGTTATGTAATGAAAACTCTTGTAAATGTTGGTGAGATAATGCAAATGAGTAGGTTGTGTTGTTTTGAAAAAGAACTTGTTAATATTAATTAGAAAATGTTGGGAAATTTAGGGTTTGTGATGGAGATCTGGATACCAACTTGGATCGTGATATCACTTTTCGAACTAATATCTCTACCCTATGTTTGGGTTACAAAAAATTCAGTTTAGGATAATCCAAGTGGACACTTGCGTTTCTAGGCACAGAAAACGTAAGTTAATATGCTAGAGGATTCTGTGAAAGTATGATGAAAAACGAGAGTTTAAGATCGTTACCCTCATCTGAAGAGGAAGAATTGTTTATTTATTAAACGAGATTAGGGTTTGGTCGTTATTAGTTGCTTTGGAAGCAAGTAATGTTAATCCGGATTTAATGAGGATTTAGGGTTACCAAAACTAACGAATTTCGTTACTTTTACTATAATCACCCTCAAGAAATTGATTTTTCCACTATGTTCTCATATGTAAAATTTGGGGCTCTGCCCCTTGGACCCCGCCAAAGGGGCGTTGCCCCCGAACCCCCGAATAGTCGTCGAACCAGCTTCTAATTCGATCTTATACATGTGTGCACTCCACACAACCTCGTACATATATTAGAGTACAAATTATGAAGCCCCTTTAGCTCACATGTTAGTTCCAGTTACTTAAAATGACATGGTGACACTAAAATCACCAACAATCCTCCACCATTTTAGTGTAACCCTTGAACAAACATAACGTTATCAAACAAACCAAACTAGTACATAATGAAAATATCGAAATGATTGAATTTCCACTTAGTATCATACATTTGCAAATACTCGAGAATCAAGATGTTCTAAGAATTGAACCCATCAACCCATTTGAATACCAGAAAGTAAAACACATACTAGTTTATTGAATTTCTAGCGTAATACAACTTGACACTATTATAAAAGCATGTGTCCTAATCCTCTCATGATCGTATCAAGGTCAAGTCCACAACCTCTTGAAATGCGGTTACACTTCACAATCACATAAGTAACTCTTTTCCATGTATCTGCACATACATTTATCAAATGAATTATTAAGAAGTTAAACTTCAACCTGGCTAACTTGCAGAACCGAACACATACCTGGGATGAATACTTCATATATTCCAATCTATAAGCATGAGCTTTCCACATTGAATTCAACTCCTAACATTATATTAGGAGGGAGTTGGGTGTCTCATCATTATAAAATTAAATGGACTTTAATCTCATCCCGATTACAGACTTGTGCACTAAGTCTCTTGTCAGACCTTTAGTCAAGCGATCGGCCAAATTTTGTTGCGATTTCACAAACTCAACCGAAATCACACCATTCATGATTAAGTCTCTTGTTAAACCCGGTCGCTCCCCAACTAATACTTTCCTCTATCAGCGTACTCATCTGACTAAGGTCACTTCCTAGGCCCTTCCTAGGTTCTCACACTTCTCTGCCATCAGCTGCTGAAGATCTCCTTATGATGCCAGCCATATACTTCCTAAATATCCTCATATTCACTTAGTAGCTGACTCCCATCATCAAGAGTTCCACAAAGCACGAAGCAAGCAACATTCGGGCATCGAATAATCTCCACCAACACGTAAAACCACTATAGGTTACAACTTTATTTGCTCTACTCACACTAAAAAGGTATCACCAAACTCAAGAAACCCTACCTCTCGCAGGTATTTAACTACTCCTTCAGTAGGCTCCTCCAATGCTCATCTAGGTATCTATCCTAGATTACTCCTCTACTCAAAGCTCTCTCTAAAAGATTCCTGTTGGATACTCTTACTCCACACATACTTAAAGCACATCACAAACAACAACAATTCCTAAGCTAAGGCATCACAAATCAGGCAACTCTAACCCAAACATATGAAATACCTAGCTTATCATCTAACATGCATCACTAATATCTCAATAATAACTCATAACACATATAAGTAAGGGTATTTTGGTAAATCACCGTTCAGGCTCTAGCTGATTGTACACACTGCGCCTACTCGTTTTTCTCTTGGAAACTCTTGCTCGTTTTAGAAAAATCATTTATTTTGAAAATTTTCTCTCAAATCCCCACTTTGAGTCCAGACATACCCGAAGGTGCATCTGAATCCCTCAAACCAAGGCTCAGATACCAACTTGTAACAACGTAAATTTTCAAGCAAACATTTCATTTAAAATCATATAATTCCCATGACACATTTCACAAAAAATCTCATCTATTAACTTTACAAATCGCAACTCCATAATTGTTTGATTAAATCCAGGATCCTTAAAACATAGCTCCTTCATTGGTGTGTACAATCAAGCTGGTGCCTTCCCGTGATCCTGAGAAAGACCTAAAACACATAACACACAACACGGTAAGCACAAAGCTCAGTGAGTTCCCAAAAATAGCACACACATATATGTAGCCACTCGAGGCTATAACACAATAAGACCCTCCGATCAATGTGTCTCTGTGGGACCTTCCTGTCCCATAACACTGATGGACCCTTTGGTCCTAACTCTGTAAGCTCTGAATAATACACAACATAAATCACAAAGAATAATGCAGGATATCACAATAAACAATGTAAGCACATAAGACAGCTCAATCACACGAAAATACCACTCATGGTAAGTATAGTGATAAGACTCACCTCGTAAGCTAGCAAGTAACATTCTCGTACTCGGAAATCTCGAACTAGCCTCCGCCTAATACATAGGATAAACATCTATAATTAATACTTTATTCGTACTCAAATACACCAAAGGCTATTCCTTCTTTCTGTCTAACTCTTGAAGTGGATAAAAGACCATTTTACCCCTCCATGGACTCCATTACTCATGATTGACCCAACCCTAAAGTCAACAGAATTCAAACTCGAGTTAACAGTTCATGTTTGACCCAACTCGCCGAGTGCACCCATGTGACTCATCGAGTCCATTCGCTTCCTCTGAAGTCTCACGAAGGTGTAGCTCAGCTCGTCGATTTGACCCCAGCTCGACGAGTTATCGCATAATCAAGCTCATCGGGACAAACCCTCACCGACTCGTTGAGTCAGGCCTTGGACTCGGTAACTCCCTCTGATCTGATTTCTCATTCAGACGATTTAAGGCAGATCTATCATCCTACACACTATATCTACCATTATAAGGCTCAATTGACACATAAAGCTTCGATCTTTACACTCATGCGTGGTGGTTTTTCTCTAATCTACCAATACATGTTCTCATAAGGTATTAAACACCATACTCCTCACATACATGAATAAAGTTGGGATTATTGGGCTCTAGGGACCTCACAAGGTCCAGATCTGAGGTTTAAACCTCAAGATGACTTAGCATTCTCGAAGTCCCGAATAATATGTGATGAAAACCCTAACTACTTAACTCATGAGATCTAACCAAATAAAGGGGAAATATTCAAACTTTTTACATTTATCTTTAAGCTCTGGATGAAATGGCCTGAACCTCAACAACTCCTTCTTGTTTCTTGCTGAACAAACTCATATTCCTCCTCAAAGATGCACTAAAATCCTTCAAGGTTAGCATGGAGACTCTCTTAGCTCGTTACACTCGATTAGGGTTTCACACAGAAGGGTTAGGCAACTGGTGAGGCAGGAATGGGAGCATAAGCTCCCTTATATAGGCCCTAACCCTGGGAAATTAAAGTTTCTCTGCTCAGCACCTACTCGGCGATTTGGCTCTCAAACTCATCGAGTCCATTCATTAATCGCACATGGGCAACTCGACTCTACTCGACGAGTTGGACTCACAACTTGTCGAATCCACCCATTAATCCCTCGCGAACAAATCGACTCTACTCGATGAGTTGGACTTACAACTCGTCGAGTCACTACATAAATCCCAAAATTAAACACACAAGAATATACCTGAGAGTCCGGATGTTACACCTTACTTTAAATATACCTTATATTTAAATATAATATCGTTATTATGAAACTATAAATAAGATTTATCAATGACTCAAAGTCGTTATACTGATTGATCTGCTTACGCAGATGATGTCTAGGTTGTGATTTAGCGAGGTGTTTAAAGTGGGATTTCCAAACAGTATACTCCGTATACCAAACAAACCTTACCTCTAATAGATCCTACCTGGTTGTTCCTTACTTGATAGATCATGAAGTAGAGTCTAAGTTAATGATGAATCTAGACTAATAATTAGTCGCATAAATATTAGATTAAAATCTAGTGAAATTAATACTAGGTTTCGTCGAAGGAAATCATATTGTTAAGAAGCGAAGCGGTGCTCGAATTTCGAGTTGTCACTTTAACAAGTGAGTGCATAGTGTGACATCCCCAAAATCACGGCCAGAAAAGACCGATTTAATTTATGCTTTTGAAAACAATTTCAGAGTAATCCTTTGATTAAAAGAGTTGCGGAATTTGTTCCCAACACGAGGTATGATAAAAATAATATTTACCAAAGCATTTATTAAAGAAATGTATTTTCATTGTATAACAAAACTCGAGATGTCATGTTCCGATAACCAGAAAAAAAGCATAAACATTACATTACAAACCTTACAACAGTTACATAAAACAATAGGTCTATAATCCAAAAATAACTTGACAAGTCATCCATCTTATGCCCTCACGCCACTACCTCTATTACAAATAAACTGAGTGGGTCAGGCTTGGGAGCCTGGTGAGCATATAGGGTTTTTAACCTGTAATAAATAATTATATTTAATTTCACCAACCAACAAT